CAGGACCAAGCACAAGACCTTTCAGTTTACCACCTTTGTTTAGCAAAGAGAGGATACTCTCTCCTGTCTGGAGTATATAAAAGTTTGCTAACTGTTGTCAGCATGCTCCTTATTTTATATACTTTTCTGCACTTCTGGATTCACAGTGATAGCTCAGTGAGGGTACTTGTGCAGCGAAGTTTATTCAACCTTTGAGTTTCAGCTGCAATATTTGCTTGAAAACAAATTAAATGCCAAATACAATTAATTTTCTTTCTTTTTTTTTTTAGCATGAATGGTTAATGTCTCTAAGGCACTCTGTTTCCATTATGAACTAAGAATATCTTTTCTTTCATTCAAAATGAAACATCGAGGCAATACTGGGGGTTTTTTTAGGCTTTTGAGGTTTTTAAAATTATCTAATTCTATCTGGGTTGCTAAAACCAGTGGGAGAACTCAGAGTTGAGATTTTAACGTATTTTTGTACTTGCTTTTTATTTAGATAGCTGTGTTGCCCTAGGAACTGGAAAATTATTTTTCCTGGGGAGAAGGTAACTGAACACAAAGGGTACAACAAAAGCTTTTTATTTCTACAGAATCACAGGGTGGTTGAGGCTGGAAGGGACCCCTGGCAGTCCTTTTGCCCAACCTCCCTGCTCAAGCAGGGCCACCTAAAGCAGGTTGCCCAGGACCATGTCCACACAACTTCTGAAGATCTCCAAGGACAGAGACTCTGCAACCTCTCTGGGCAACCTGTGCCAGTGCTTAGTCACCCTCACAGTAAAATAAGTCTTTCCTGAAGTTCAGAGGGAACCTCCTATGTTTCCATTTGTTCCCATTGCCTCTGTTCCTGTAACTGGGCACCACTAGAAAGAGGCTAGCTCTGTTTTCTTACACTATTTCTACAGATATTTATATACTTGGATGAGATCACACCTTGAGCCATCTTTTCCCCAAGCTGAGCAGTCCCTGGTCTCTCACAGGAGAGATGCTTAATCATCCTCCTGTCCCTTTGCTGGGTTCATGCCACCTTTCTTTGTAAGGTTAGTTTTAGATGCAGGAACAGCAATAACAGTTTTAAACCATTCCAGTATATTTCATGTGCTCTTCATTTGTCTTCCAGCAATTCATGGAGAATAGCAGCATAACTGCTTGTTACAATGAACTGGTTCAAATAGAACATGGGGAAGTGCGATCTCAGTTCAAATTACGGTATGTAGAAGTGTGAGAAACTGCAAACATCAGCTGCTTGGTCTACGTAATTGTATCAGGTTACGTTTTGCTTCTTCCCAGCTACGTGTATATGTGCTTTGCATCTGTATGTCAACTAATATACTATACCCGTATTTCCTTCTGTTATTTTTTAGGGGACAAGTTTAAGTGCTCTAATAACTGGTAACCTGATAAAGCTTGGTCTGTGTATGTTTCATTCACTGGTGGTTTAAATGATGGCTTTCCTCAATGCAAAACGCAGTATGTGTCCTTTATTTTAACACTTGTTTGTGTCCCATGTGTCTTGAGGGCCCCATATTGAATTTGGCAATATTCTAGCCGCCATTACTACCAGCATTACTGTCAGGGCAAAATCCTTTAGCAGAATTATCGCGGAGCAACGACTTTAGCTCATTTAATGGCAAGAGTGGCATTTTAAAAGTGCTGTCTTGTGTGCACAGTTTGTGGTCTGCAAATTTACATGATGGTAAAACTTCATAAAGTCATTCTTGATCTCATATAAATGAGGAGATGAACACAGTCTTGATCCGGCTCTTCATAATCCACATTTTTATTTTTTTGCTTGGGCAAGACTTAGTGGATGGGGAGCACAGTTTTTTGTCTTGGTGAAAATTAAATGACTTTCATGACATTATCACTTTTCCTTTAATGTGACTAATTTTGTATTTAATACACATGCTTATACATGCATGTACAAAGGTTTGCAACACACTATATGGAAAAAGAAGCCCTTGTAATTAAGTGTCACACAGAGAAGATTTAGTTTCTTGGGTGGGATAAATTAATTCCAGTTCCATCTACAGAAAATACTATCACTTCTCTACAGATTTCAGTGTCTCTATTTAACAAGTAGATTTTTCTAAGGCTTTCTTGACAAACTGATTCTAAAGTGATTTCCTGTTCAAGTGACTACGTGTTTGTTCATGCCGAAAGCAATTACAGTAAAATTTTCAGAGAAAAAAAGTAGAATTTGGGCTCACACAATTTTTAATAGATGTTTTCCAAAACTCTGCAGGAAAATAAAGCAGCTGTGAAATTTTATATGTTAATTAGTTCTTACGGTGGTCCTGATTTGATTTGTTGGTCAGTTGTAAACGCAACATGAAATGAGTGACTTCTGATTAAGTTGTCATAGATCAGAAACCTCAGTTTTGTATAGGAAGATTAAGCTGTCATTCATTCACACAGTGTTTAGCAGTAGTGTAGTTCATGTTTCATTTCAAGAACAAGATGTGAATACAGTTTGAGCATCTCTATGTCAGTAATATCAATCATGAACACAGGTAATTAGAGCTCCAGCTCGGGGATAATGATTCATATTGGCTACTATTCTGCAAGTGTATTTATAGCCATTACCAAAAAAAATCTTAAACTTGATTAAAATTGGAAGGAAACTATGTAAGTCCCCATCAGCATTTAATCAGTTGACAGTTCTTTCATCCATATTGTTTATGGAAACAGCAGTATTCCACCCACTTGTAATTCTGCTTGCCTTTGCACTCTTGAAAGTAGTTACATAAATGGTGAGACTACTTCCTTTTAATTTATGTAAATAATAACATTATGTAAAATGTATTTTGTGTTATCATGTCTTTTGTATATTGATCATATATATATATGTTTGTGTGTGTGTGTATATTCATATCACCTCTGAACATGACTGTTCTGGGAACATTTGGTAGCATTGCAAAATACTGTGAAAAAAACAGTGGTATTTCTGAGTTTGCTACTGCCACTGCCAGATGTGGTCCCAAAATAGTTAAGTAAAGAGTTTAATAGGCCCAGGATAGTTAAATATACTTCTCTTCATGTAACAAGTCCAAGTAACACTTCTAACCAACATTTGTACTAGCATCTGGGGGTATGAAATAGCCTTTTGAAAGATAAACTTTCTGAAAAAGCGTATCTGTAACCTGGAAAAATTGGTGTTTTGCAACAGAGAATTTCCCCCTACTTCTGCCTGATTAGGCAGGTGCTCTGAATGAATTTGCCATTAAAATCTAGGCAGAACTAGTGTTTGGTAATGATATTTGGTTATAACTTTTCATCTGAGTGGTTTAACCAAGTGGAAAAATGTGTGTCACACTCTGTGTCTGTCTCACTGGGTGTCTCATCGTTTTGCTGCCTTGGTAGGTCTTCTTCGCAGTTTTGTAAAAGTGTAACGGAAGAGAGAATATTTTCAGAAGGTTAGTCAATGGAATTAAACTCAGGATATTTCAAGTGTTCAGATACAACAGAAACATGGTGAAAAAGTAGGACGAGCCCAAGAAAGCAATACCTAAGGGAATGACAGTGGTCAGAAGTGACTTTCCCTTCCAAGCAGGAACTTCACTTCTCCAGGTAGCTGCTTCTGATTTGAAGCTTGGTTGGACATCTGAGGGAGGTGTGTATTAATCAAAGAGTGTATGGGCCATTCAAAATTGTAATTTTACTGGCTTCATTGCCAGATCAAATGAAAATACTAAGGTTTGAATAGTGCAAACATAGCTGTGTGGTTTTTTTCAGAAATTTTACGTAATTACGTTTGTTAGCAGCTGCTGTACCAGACTGGCATCCATCACTGAGAAAAATTAGTTGTTTCACACAGCACAAAATCAGTCTTTGAAGCTAGCTTGGACTGCTAGAAAATCACTTGTAAAATTACATTGGGAGCTCCTTTCATTGTACAAGCTGAAATACTGCTGTTGCACGTAACATTTTTTCCTACAAATCTTAGTCTGTGTGGCTGTGTTTCTGTGTCTGTGTGTATGTTTCTTTGTGCATCCTATTAATTTTTGAGGTTTTTTCCATGATGAGCAGAACCAGCAATGTGCTGTATTTCTTAATTCTCTAGTCACTGGTATTAATTCAACTCCATTATGCAGTCTGGGATTAAGGTGTTACTTTTAGGTAAGAACTGTAGACAATAATGTTTATACATGGTGCATTTATACTCCCTGCAGTGAGAGGTACATGAAAGATAATTAGTTTGTGTTTAGTCCAAATCAAAGATGAAGTACTGACATGTATCAAAGCAAATATGCTTGGGTTGTTTCTTGCAGTATGAGCTCTCTTTGTGTGTGTGTGTGTGTGTATATATATATATATTTATTTCCCCTAGGAGCCTATATTAATGCTATTCCCATCCTGTGCAAATTATTATTTAAGCAATTTAAATTTTGTAGCAAGAAGGTAAGGCTTTTGTTTTCCTGCATTAGTTCAAGGATAGCTCTGAAAAAAAAAGAAAGGAATCAGAGATGATTTGGGCCTTTAATAAGGATTAGAATGTGTGGAAATCAAGTCACTGAATTATTAATTGGAAGATAGAAAATTCATATTTTTTGACTAGGACTTGTTTCCTTTAATTATGTTGTATTGCAACTTCTTTGATGTCCTTCTGTATTGAAAACTTCATGAATACCTGCGTGGTGATTTTTACGCTCCCTGTCTTTAATGATCACAAAACTTTCTATGCTGATGTAACAGCCATTTGTTATTTTTACTGCTAATTGTCAGTTCCTGCTGTCTAGAGCATGTTTGGATAAAGAAATACACCATTAAAATGCTGCAATACCCATGAGCAATTTTGCAATGTGATCAGCAGTAAAAACACGGTAACAGCAGGGATGCCTGAAGCTGAATTTCTTGAGAAAAAATCGTAATGGAGATAGTGACATGGTTTAGTCAAGACAACATGCTACTTTGTGGTTCATCGACTGATAAGTACAATATAATTATTTATATTGAGCAAAATGTTCTAACAATAAAACTAATGTGAAGCATTTGCTAATTTCAGGGCTTGTAATGCAGTGTTTACAGCATTAGACCATTGCCAGGAAGCTATAGAAATAACCAGTGAAGATCATGTCATTCAGGTAGGGGGAAAAAAGTTAACAATTCAGTTTAAAGAGAGGAACTCCAAAGAGATCTTTGCTCAGTGGTTTCTGTTCTATTTCGGTATTTTAATTTTCTTGGCCATTGGAAGGCTGTGTGCAATGAACTGCCTCATTTCTGGATGCTGCACATTGACACCTGCTGAATTTTTAATACTTTTCCTTCAATGACCTTGTTTAGATGACAATTTTCAGTCTTGCTTATGGTAAAACCAGCATGAAATATGTAGCAGAACTACATAACCTGTACAGTAAGGAGTTTTGGTCTCTTTCTGCGCATCCTGATACCAGCTTACGTATCACTCTCTGTGTGCAGTTCCTTACTTGAATAAAATGTTTCACTGATGCATAGTATTTTTATATGAAAAACACTGAATTGTGGGGCTGTGTGGTTATGACTTGAGACATACAACTTGTAACTATTTGACATATGTAAGTAGTTATCCTGTAAGTATGTTCTTTTTCATATTTTCCTAAAGTACTTTTGTTTTGGCAGTATGTGAATCCAGCCTTTGAACGGATGATGGGGTATCACAAGGGAGAGCTTATTGGCAAGGAACTGACTGAACTACCAAAAAGCGATAAAAACCGTGTGGATCTTTTAGACACTATCAACACATTTATCAAAAAAGGAAAGGTAAGCAAATAAAATAAGGTAATGCAAAAATGCTTTAGATTTCTATTGTGCTTTATTTTTACTGCTCTAGGTTTAAGGACACCAGATGTGGTTTTCATGTCTGCCCATGTAAGACCATAATTCTGTTCCTCAGATGTCTTAGGAGCATGACAGCCTCAGACGAAGGACTACAGGGTTCTGTAGCTTTGCTTTTAGCTTCTGACTGAACTCCTCTACTGATGTGTTGGCTTAAATCAGTATAAGAACTGTTTTTGTGTTACTGTTTTGCTTAGAGCCTATGGAGCTTTAGCTAGCTGGAACATAACAATTTGTCCTTCAGTCAGTCTCTCACTTGGCTGCATCATCCAACCAAAAGGTGTAACTGTTCTATCATAACTGCTGAGCCTTCATTGACTGCGTGCTTTAAGCACCATGTGGCACAATCAGTTGTGTCCAAAATACATTGGCACCCATTGGGGTTTGTTTTTATAACTGTATTTAGGATATCTGCAGTGCACTGTGAACTCCTGTTGTGGTGGTGATGGGCCATGAAAGCACTACATCTTCCTGGCCATATGTTCCCCTAATAATTGCAACAGTCTCTTATCCCATCTCCCATGGGCTGCAGAAGTACTCCTCACATTTCCCTGTCTCATGCCTCTGCTTCACAAACTTTGAGGAGTTCTTGAACCTTTAAGCCACTTCCAGAAGTGATCTCAGCTTTGGGGGTCGCTGTCTGGAGTTGTTTGCAGGTTCTTCTTGGTTCATTTATCAGTACCTGCAGGCCACTGTTGCTTTGCTCCTCCTCATTTATATAGGCTGCCCAGCTGCTTACACTGCCTGCTCAGAGGCTCTGTGTGTCTTCTGCATCTGTCCATCTTTGTCTGTGACAGAGAAGTATCTTCCATCCATTTTCCGACTTCGTCCTGCTCTGCTGCCGACTAATTCCCTCCTTACAATCTCTCTTCTCTGAGGTGGTAAGGAGAGAGAAGCTTTCTGCTTTGTCTTCCTTTCTTCTCCAATTTGCACCGGAGGATATCTTTTATCTCTGCATCAGTGGACTGCTTAAGGATGATGTATATATGGTTCTTGGTTAGCCTGCAGTCCTGTTCGTGTTTCCCTGTGGCAGTAGGGATGAAGGAAAATTCAGTGGTCAGTCAGAGAAATTGTCGTTTGTGTGGGAGAACAGGGTAAAAGATGCCTTGAAAAAATTGTTTCTTCCTTTTACTGATCTAGAGTGCCTTGGTTAACCATGGTCATGGGAAAACTGTCACGGAGTGAGGATAGGCTGTTGGTTACCTGAGGTTAGTAGAAGGACATCCTTAGGTCAAGGGCTTCTGAAATTTAGCATACATACTGCTTCATGATTTATAACTTCAACGCCGAATGGCGATCAACACAGAGTTTGGTTCTGCTGCTCCCAGGGGAGAGGTTCTCTGGATGTGCTGCAGCCACCACTGCTTATGGTGGTACCAAGAAAGAAAGTTTGTAGCCCCTCAAAGTCAATGACTCCTAAAGTTCTTTGTAAATATTGTATACTCTCTCACAAGAAAAACATATTTACCCTGTCCTTACATTAGCAAATGCCTGTTAAAGGTGCTACTCTGTATTAGTAAATTTTACACTACTTTAAAAAATAGTACTGTGAAATAATATGTAATTTTTAATACATAAGGACCATGTAGTAATACATTAATAATAGACTGCGAGCTGTGTATTCTTAGATGCTGTCTTTGTTTTGTGTGTTTGCTTAGGAATGGCAAGGAGTTTATTATGCAAGAAGAAAATCAGGAGACAGTATCCAGCAGCATGTGAAGATAACACCTGTGATTGGTCAAGGAGGGTAACTAAGTTGTCCAGAACATAATTGCTTTCCAGTTTTTAAGGGCCTTTTCTCTGCTTTCCCCATCTGCAAGTTTGACATGAACCTCCATGTTTCTAGTAGCAGGGTGATGATACAATGCTGACTTCAAGCATTGTGGAAGGAATGAGCAAAGTTCAGAAGAACATGTTCTATGCTGATGTTTGTCCATTTTGGCATCATTATATTGGCTAAAAGAACTGTAAAGTCATTACAATTAATAGAGCTACTGCTATAGATACCTGCAAGCTGACATTTTGGTTCATGTTCCCATGCTTTCCATTATGAAGATTTTCTACAGTATGTGAACTGTTACCCTGTCAGCTGGAAGGGTCAGCAGCTGACACAAACCCTTTGTTTGTGTGGGTGCTTGTCTGTGCTCGCACCTTTGCAGTGTAGTATGGCCATGTTGCCAAATTCTGCTTCCAGATGTGCAGGTGAATTCCTGCAGGAGCTAAAGGATAAGATGTCCCAGGATAAAAATGTAGGTTTAATGCTGAAGGAGTGCTTGTCACCCAGTCATCTGTTTGGTGTTCGGTTTGGTATCTTGTTTCATGAGGGTGTGGAGACCTCTGCTTTAGAAAACAGCAGTGTATCACTTCATTTCTGTCTTTGCCATTTGATATGGTAACAAGTGCTTGTTTCTGTGGCTAGGAAAATAAGACACTTTGTGTCCCTCAAAAGGCTGCACTGCACCAATGAAAACAACAAGCAGGTACCATATTTCTTTCATGTTCTAATTTTCATTGCTTTTAGTAAACTTTTTTTGTTTGTTTAGAAATTGGTGTTTTTCCAAGAAAATGTGATCCGCATTGTAAATGAGATTCTCACTGAAGCAAGAAAACTTTAGCATTTGCATAGTCTATTCTTTTGTAGGACGGCTGAGTAGAGAAAGAAAGATTTTATTTCCCTGGATCATGGATGTGACAGTTGAGTCCATGATACTGTGTAGCAGCATGGTCTGTAGTTCAGAGGGAGTTTAGGTGCTCCCATCGTACTTGGTGTCATCTGCAAACTTATTAAGTCCAGATGTCCAGATGATTGATAAAAATACTAAACAGAACTGATCGCAGTCCTGTGCCCCGGAGAACATCACTTGAGACTGACCACTAGCTGGGTTTAGCTCCATTTGCCACCACTCTTTGGGCATGGCCAACCAGCCAGTTTTTCACCCACTGAAGGGTATGCCCATCCAAGCCTTGAGCAGCCAGTTTCTCCAGGCAATGCTGGGGGAAACAGCGTCAAAGACTTTGCTAAATTTGAGGTAGACAACATGCAGAGCCTTTCCCTCATCCGCCAAGCTGATCACCTTGGCATAGAAGGAGATCAGGTTAGTCAAGCAGGACCTGCTTTTCATAAACCCATGCTGACTGAGCCCAAACACCTGATTGTCTTGTACATGCTACGTGATGCCCCTCGAGATGATCTGCTCCATGACCTTCCTCAGCATGAAGGTCAGACTGACATGTTTGTAGTTCCCTTAATCCTCCTTGTGGCCCTTCTTTTAGATGGGCATCACATTTGCTAACCTCCAGCCCACTGAGACCTTGCTGGTTGTTCAGGACTGCTGATGAATGATGAAAAGTTGTTTGGTGAGCACTTCTCCCAGCTCCTTCAGTACCCTTGGATGAATCTAAGCAGGCCCCATAGACTTGTGTGCAGCTAAGCGGTGCAGCAGGTCACTGCCCATTTCCCCTTGGATTATGGGGGCTTCATTCTGCTGCTTATCTCTGGCTTCCAGTTCAGGGGCTGAGTACCCAGAAAACTGCTGGTATTACTATTAAAGATGAGACAAAGAAGGTGTTAAGTACCTCAGCATTTTCCTTATCCTTTGACAGTATGTTTCCCCTGCATCCAATGAAGGATGGAGATGCTCCTTAGCCCTCCTCTTGTTGCTAGTGTGGTTATAGAAATGTTTTTAAATTGTCTTTTATAGCAGTAGCTAGATTAAATTCTAATTAAAACTAATGGGGAAAAAATGTTAAAATTTTTGGAAATTGCTGGGAACTTAGACTGTTGGAAGTTCATCGGTGGTATTCTGTAAAATCTGACTGCTGAAGCCATCCCTCTTGCATGAATCTTTGGAGGGGGCAGGTAGTAACAAGTCAAGAGAAAAATCTGCTGAACTTCTGGAAGAACTTGGAAGGGCTCATCATTAAAAAACAAGGCTCAAACGTTTTAAACTGACCTTATCTTTGAACTAAAACATCGATTTTAGTATTAGCAGCAAAGTATCATTTACAGTAGCAGGATGTTTTAAAGTGCTTAGGCTAGAGAGCAACAGTGTTTTGTAATAGAAGTGCTAAAGTTATATGTATTTATTTTTAGTTAATTATTTAAACCTTATTGTTTCATTTATAGATGGTTTCGATGTTGATTTGAAAGTGAGATAGAATCTGATTTTTTTCTGTAGTATACACACAGCTGAAAAACTGGTACAGAGAATTGTAGATGTGGTACTCTTACTATAAGATAATGAGTACAAAACAGTTACAAACATACAGCCATCTGTAAAAAGCAGCAGTGGGAACACAGATAAAAGTACTTTTCTGTTTTTCATTGTCCTGTTCATTGGGCTGCCATGAATCCAAGCCAGTAGGCTTAAGAAACAAATTTTAGTTAGAGGCTTGTGTCCAAGGCCACATTGTTTTCTCTGTACTATTGGCCCTGTTAGAAAGCACCTCCAATTCACATTTTTTCACATTGATTCATAAGTGGTTATTGGTAAATAAAGCACTAACTTGACAAGCTATAGGTCTGGGTAGACTTAGACGTTTGGTGGACCCATGGAATACGGCCTCTGAACCGTTCTCCACAGATATGGAGGTCTACCACAAAGGTTAAAGACCACAGCATAACAGAAAGCATGGTCTGTGGAGATTTAAGGTCCACTGTGGAATAAACAAACTGCACCCAACAGAACTAAGTAATCACTCTGTTTCATGTCTGTGCTGGGAATGCCTCCTTGCCTCTAGTAGAGCACCAGGTGCTCTCACATTGCAAGAAAAGTTCAGACAACGAATTTTGGGGACTTGGATGTAGTTTTGAGTCTGGGTCTTCTTAAAACACGATTTCTGAAGGAAGGGTCATTCCTTACACTCTCTCAGACAAGTTGCATAGGGAACGTGAATTCAGAGTGTCCCTTCTCCTTTTTTTTCTTTTTTTTTTTTCACCCTTCTTACTCATGGAAAACCACTCCTGAATTTTGTTTGTTTGGGTTTTTGTCCTCCACTCTCTTCTCTTTCACCATCTTCCCCTCCTCCCTACAATAGCAAAAAAGGAGGACAAGTTGGAAGGTGTGCAAGAATGATGGAAAAGAGAATTTATATCATTCCCTGCTCTGGCAGAGGGGTTGAACTGGATGATCTTTTGAGGTCCCTTCCAATCCCTAATGTTCTGTGATTCTGTGATTCTTTCCTTTCTTTCCTGAATAATCTCTGTGTGCTGTCACTGTCATACGCAGGCATTTACAGGAATTTAGTACATAAAAGAACTATTATATCTGTGATTTTCTGCATTGCATATCTGTTTAGTTTCATATTATTTCTCTGCATCTGATTACACCTAAAGAAGAGTCTTTGCCAAACAATTTTTTTTTTCTTATAATAACCAAACAGAAAATGCTGGATAAGGACAGGATTGAACATAGCCCTTTTAAAATCTTTTTCTGTTCTTTTTCCTTACATATATGTTTCGCTCTTGGTACATCTTCAGCTCTGCAAGGGTCACCATGATGAGAAGTACACGGGAGACAATTCTCAGTCAGGTTAGAATACTATCATTTGCCTTTATGTACCACTGTGCTTGAGGTCATGGCTGGGTGATTTGCTGGTATGAAATTTCTCTCCCCTCTGCTGAGTCAGTGATCAGAGCAGATGGCCAATGACAGATGCCAGCTACTCTGACGTCGCACCATGAATTAGATTTGTAACCATCGTTAATAATTCAATCTCCTGTGCAAGCTCTTGCTATGCACTTGGAGTTAAGATACGTTGCTCTTCCTTCTATTAAAGCACTCTGTCTGATCCTGAAGCTGGCATACCTTGGCACCCCTTTGTGTTTGAAATTAATGTAGAGCTGTGCTGATTTGTGCAAGCAGATCTGCCATAGTGTTTCCAGGTTTAGGACCCATCAGTGGGCTATTGATTTGGCCCCAGCACAGGGCTAAGCATGCAGGACTGTGGTGTCCAGGGTAGCTCTAATCATGCTCTGTTAGTGCCAACTTGTTGCAGTGTGTCTGCACAACCCTTGCCCTCTGTCTCTAGGCTGATTTACTTACCTGCAGTCAGCATGTTCAAGCTCTCAGAAACTTCTGCAGATAGCTTTTGACCAAAGGTGTAGGGTAATCTCTTCTTCTGATACCATGTAATGTTTGGAAACACTTTTCCCTCAAGAAGGGGGCACTAAAGGTAAATTTTAAACTTGTGATGCCAGTGACCTGAGCCAGATGCAGCACTGCTGCCTTATCCTAAGCGAACAGGTTCTCCCACCCGATTACCTTCTGGCACCCAAGGCCCTTCTTGCTACAAAACACTAGACAACATTACTGTGCAATGTCAGGCAGCTTCTGATATTCACATGCAAGGAGAATATAACATACCAAGAGTGTGGGAATTGACTTTTGACATACCCTACTTCTTTGACTAATATAAGAATATGTGTAAGGATTGGAGAGCTTTGTGGTGCCAAATAATAGTTGGGAGTGGAGAGAAGAGACAGTATATGCAATTTGCAGCTCTCATTACCATTACTGCCGTCAGACCTGATCCACAGTATGTTAAACTGCTTGCTCATGTGTCCCTGCAATAAATGCATTTTTTCTTTCTCGCTGTTTCTTTCCCGCAAACAGGAAGGTAGGAACACTCATGAATTACTGAAGAACACTTATTACTAGTTAACGCATTGTTACTAGCTTGCTGATGAGTTTTACGGATTACACAAAACATTTGGATTTGCTTGTTGTTATGACAGATTTCAGCAAAACTCGGAAGCCAGATCCCAGGAAGCCATGTTGGTGGCTACAGGGCAGAGGAAGCAGGCAACCTTAGAGTCATGTGTGTGTGATGCGTACTGTCCTTCCCTGCAGCCTGTGGCTGTGCTCCAAGAAAAAATTTCCAGAGCCATGGACATAAACCGTGGTGTGCTGAGTGTAGATAAATAATCCACAGTATCGTGCTATTTGCAATGGTCTGATTTGTAACAAATCTGGGTGGGGAGATATTCTGTTCCCCAGGTGAGGGAAGTTTTTTTTATTTAAGCATTTAAATGTTTTCAGCTGAAATCATATTGTGTCATAGAGTAGCCACTGTGACTCCTCAGGTGGCACTAGCAAAGTTTCCACCTTGCTGGTTGTTTTTTAACATGAAGAGACCTGGCTTGTCAGCTACTGCCACTCACAGCTGTGTTTATGTGTAAATGTTTGCTCCCACTTAAATTCCTCACGTTAAACTCCTCCAAATGTTAATGCAGGAAAAGGATTTGAAAGAGGATTTCTACAAAATAAATAAATAAAATAATTTAATATGCGTTAGTTATGCATCTGCGGCAAGGAAGAGAATTAAACCAGAAGTAATATTTCAGTAATTTTCAAGATGGATATATTTTTAATTCTGGAGAATTGTATATTAACATTTTATTTTGCCAAAGGCAGGTTGCATATATCCCGTCTTGTAGTAATGCAAATTGGTTCTTATGTTGAGAATATAAATTCTACTATATTTCTGAATCCTCACATGGTGGTTACTTCCTTTCAAAGGGAATGGGTACTATAGAGAATCTTGCAGAGGGGTGCATACGTGCATGGTTGCTGTTGTTAAACATAAGACAATGCAGACTGTAATGTTTTGGAGGAAGAAGAAATTTTACTAAACCTTATTTTCTTCTCTTTTTTGAGGCTTTTTCCAAGCATTTCATCCAGCTTTTACATTTGTCTGGATGTGATAATTTTTCTTGCTTTAGCAAATGGCACTTTCAAGAATGACAGCTTGCTGTGTTTTTCATTTTCACAGCAGCTGAACTGATTGTTTATAGTGATTCTCAGTATGCTGGATTTTTCTTAAACACGGGGTACAAAAAATTACTGCAATTAAAGCAAAAGCTGTCTGAGCTTGAATTGTGCTTTGGCTGGTGGAGTGTAAACTGAGACAGGATTTTCCTCACTTGGCTAAATTTCTAGGCAGTTAAACTCCAGCTCGTTCAGTTGTCAATGGAGAGCATGTCACCGGAGAGTTCAACCCCCCTGCCTGATACCTCTCTTTTAATCACAGTCTTTGGCAACTACCTTAGACAAAGACAGCCTGAAAGATAGCTGCTTTTAGGCAGCTGACATTATGTGAAGCAATTCCCCTGTTCCATAAGGCATCTTGACCTCTTTGTGAAACAGCTTTCCAGGTGACTTTAGACAAGTCACTGTGGATTGATAGACACTGATCCCCTTGTTCTGATGTGCCAAGATTACAATATTTCCCCTACTTATGTGGTATTGTTAAGGTGATTTAATTAAATGCTAAGAATTTGAGGTGGAGGAGACTCTGTAGCGGTCTTACTTGATGGATTTTCAAAGCTTTTGTTTTGTATTTACAGAATCCCATTCCTTCAAATGCAAGAACAGAAGGAAAGACTCAGCTGATATTAAGTCAATAACGTCTCAAAGTAGTGATGGTAAGAGAGTAAACTGTCAAGAATGATGTTATAAATAAAGAACAGACTTTCCCTAGGCAAAAAAAAAAAAGCAGAATGAATGAATTCACAGCTCATTGCACAGAGATTACTCCAGTAGTTTGTAACTGCTGTAAAATTTCTTTATTCTGCTTTGCAAAACAGTGCCCCAGCATGACTACCAGCATCAGTATACGATGCCACAGGATGGGGGCAACCTGCTGAAAGAGCAGTGAGGCATTAGTTACACCTCCCTTAGAAAGCTGCACATTGTGCTCCCAAACCAGTATTTTGGTTTCTTTGGTGCCGGACAGGAAGGGATCTATTGCTGCTGGATGTAAGAGAGCAGTACTGCTTGCTGAGGCTGAGACAGCAGTGGCAGAGATTTCTTTCTGTCCTGGTATGTAGTAAGGGAAGCAAAGCTTATGGGGAGCAGGCATGGGTTCTGTTAGAGCACCTGAAATGACAGACATACACCACGATGAGGGACACACACGTACTCTGATAGGAGGAGCCACGCTGGACAGAGGCCCATTGCAAACAAAACCAGAGTGGCAGGTACTGTGCATGAAGTATAGTACAGCTTAAGCATAGTTTCATTTCAATATAGCTGTAGTGATGGACGGACAGAAAAGCTGGCAGCAGAAGTGAGGGATGTCTGCAAAGAAGGTAGACAACAGTGCAAGAAACTGAATAGGAAAGCAAGAACTTACAGGAGGAGAGATACGTGAGAAGTGGTCAATGAGACTGTTTTCTGTCGTGCTGTTCCTCAGTGACAGCTTTATGCACTCTTTATATGCTGTCATCTGATTTACTTTTGTGGCATGTGAACAGTGCTCTCTTTAATGGCAGCTCCAAGTTTACAGACTCGAAGGTTCTCTTCTATGGCAAGGATCCACTCAATGACAATAGAAGCTCCTATCACAAAGGTGAGTCCTGAGCACCACCTTTTCCACATACTCAAGAGTCTGGGGTTGCTCTCACAGGGAGGTTTGTGGCAGGACAGCCAAGGGTTTCTTGCACCTTGTATTTAACAAAATAATTTAAGTAAAATATCTTTTTTCTTGCCACTTTCTGTATCTCATTATCTCATTCCAAAATCTGGTCATAAGGAAGAATATTTAAAAAAAGAGGAAGAGGATGCATTGCTTGTGGCAAGAAGGGGATCCTGCTCTGTTGGGCCACGCATGTGTAGGAAGACATGTGCTTCTACTCTGACCTTTGCTTTTGCCGTTGATATCTGTAAGACAGCGTGCAGAGGAGAGAGCACCTGCATCATATTCTGCCCACACACGCTCTTTCCTGCAGTCTTTTCTTCAATATCTGTGCTATACAAACCCTGCTGTTGCAAACCAGCTGCACAGTCACTTGTCAGGAAAACAGAGTGCCTGCCATCTCCCACCCTCAAACCACTTTTTCTTCTATCCCCATCTTCTTTTCCTATCACCAAGCTCTTCACTTCCCAGCACCATCATGCCTATTGGAGCAGCTGACTCCTTTCCTTTTCCTTCCCTGCAAGTCCTGTAGTGCCCCTGCGGCAGCTTCTGGTTGCTGGAGAAGACACACTGGGACTTTCTCCCTCTCAGTCGTGGCAGTGCCAGGACTAGTCCTTGGTGCTGCTGTGTCATTGCTGCATTCCCAGGTTGTGGCTGAGACAAAAGCTGGGAGGCAAAGAAGAGCAATCCTCTTCTCTCTCAACCACAGCCCAGCTGTTTCTGCTCTCTGCCCTTCGTTTTCACATTGAGAAAACTAAGACTTTACATCAGATATTAGGATATCTGGGTCAAACCCCAGGAGTCTGTTTGTTTATTTTTTTCTCTAGGGTCTAAATCATTGCTTCGGAGCAAGTCTGGCCATACTGAAGGACTGGGACATGGCTAGTTTTTTGTCTACCCTCCTGCAACTATTTCAGATATTTCACACCTTTCTGCTTTCACTTGCCAAGAGTTTGCCAGTTACAGATAGCAGATGGGTACCAAGGAATATGAGCACAAATTTACATTTTCAGAGTTGTACTTTTAAGGATTGGTGGGCATTACATAGCATTTGCTAAATAGGAAGAAGCATAATCAAGCCAAGAATTGTAAATTTGTAATTATTTGTAAGCTAATTTTGTAATAAGAAAAAAAGCGCCATTCACTTTTCTTTGCCTGCCTCCTTAATCTGCTTTCAGGTTATTAATATAATTAATGCTGCCCAGGAAAATAGCCCCATCACAGTAGCGGAGGCCTTGGACAGAGTTCTGGAAATCCTGCGGACGACAGAGCTTTACTCCCCTCAGCTAGGTACCAAAGATGAAGATCCTCACACAAGTGATCTTGTTGGAGGCCTGATGACTGTGAGTAAAATTAGCAAAATTACTGCTACCAGCGTCCTACATAACAGTTCAGTGCTCTGCTGTGTTAAAGTTTCACAAGGAGTGGGAAAGGGAGTCATAATTCATCACTACTTCATTTAAGTATTTTGTCCGTCTGCCAGCTGTAGGCACCGAGATGTAGTAAGATATGGCCACATCACAGTCCATTGGGTGCATTCATCCTCATGTAGAAATGAACACGATTGCTGCTAGGAAGCTATATAATGCAATCTGATTTTTCTCAAGGAGATACTTTTTTAGAAACCCCAGAAGCTTAGATGGAATTAGAGGGTTTGCTCTGCAGCTTGTCCAGTGTAAGAGTGAGGTTAAGGCAATGATGTTCTTTCTTTAGTCCTGCAACAGCAGCAACACTGTCTGCCAGAGACAGACCACCTAGATTTCGTCATGGTCTACTTAGTTTTTTAACATACACTGAGCTAATCCTTGCCAAAAATAATATAAACAAAATTAAAAATAATTTGACATCAAAAATCATTTGACAGTGGTTAATCTGGATTATGAAATCGTGCAGATGCCAATGAAAGGGACAATAAGAGCAATACACTGTTTAGTTAGTAATACCCTTTCTGGAGAACTCATACTAGTGTTCCTTGGATCTTTTCATATCTGTTTTAAAAGACCTTAAAACAGGGATGGTGCTTACAATGCCATAATAGGAGCAGTGCTTTTGGTACATAGGAATAGTACCTAAAGAGAAAGTGCACGTAATGTTTTTGCAATTTATGATGATTGGTTACTCTGATTTATGATAAACTTGCTTTTTCAGGATGGCTTGAGAAGACTGTCAGGAAACGAGTATGTGTTTTCTAAGAGTAAGCCACCATTTTAAACTTCCATTTGCATGTGTGACTTCTCTTGTAGACGCTAGTGACATAGAGCTCATGCTCATTTGCAGTGAGATGCATGTCTTTGTAAATTGTTGTATAAGTGACTCCAGAACAAATACTAGACTGCTTCCATTTTGGAGTTGCAGTAGGTTCAATAATTAAAATAATGCATTTCAAAATGTAGAAAATCAGACTTGTAAAAAACCAAATTGTCACTTGAAGAAATGTTCACTGATCTTTTTGGTTTGTGTACAAATCGTCTGTAGTAATATAAACCATATATATTATAAGATTTTACAGACTTTTTTGTGTAAGGAAAAGAGGTTTTTTTTCCTTGAGAAAGAGTTGTTTTCTAAATGGAAAACAATAACCCAGAAATGTTGTCATTCACAATTTCCATTTCAACAGATATAAACCTGAGCCATAGTCACCTTTCAGTGCCAAACACCATCAGTGATGTTCCACCCTGCATTGCACAGCTCCTGGATAATGAGGAAAGCTGGGACTTCAACATTTTCGAGTTGGAGGCCATTACAAATAAAAGGTACTGGACTCCTTTCCCTGAGTGCCCACAAAAAGGTTGTTGAGGAGCTATAGTAGGAAGCACTTTGCTCTGGAAAAATGGAGGCAAGATACAGCAAATCTACGAGAGCTTTCGTCCTTTTTTTGTGTGTTGGTACCACTTGTCCCACTTAATGAGCTGGGTGTGCCCCATGGTCAGGATGCACGCGAGGCCATGGAAAGCACTGTGCAAACTCTTGTTTTCTCTGACAGTGTCTGCAGCCCTCCAGGATGTTTCCTGTTCAATTTTTACTTTGCTTGGCTCCCATCCACTCTGTCCAGGTGACACTATTTGGCACAGTCTGCTGTCGTTACATGCTGGATGTCTCACAAAGGCCCCTTTTTCCTGCTGATGTTCCAGTGGTCATGCTGGAGAAAGCAAGTCTCTCCCCTATCTCACCTAAATCACCCGGTGATTTAGGAAGCTCTGAGGCAAATGTGGCTTTTGATTATAAGGATAAAAAACTGTGATGGAGGGTAAACCAGTGACAGGATCAAGACTCTGAGATTTTAAAACTTGTAGTTAAAGAGGACACCATTACTTTTGAGATCATGCAGACCACAAAACTAAACATGTCATCCACAGAGGAAAGAGATTTTTATTCCAAAATGCAAAGAATTTTTGAGAGACTAACAGGTCTCTTCTGTTTGAAGAGAATGGCCATTTTCAGAATTTGCAGTTGCCTGGTTTTAATTTGCAGATGTTGGCTTTTGGTTATGCCTTTCTTAGCCGAGGAGCTCTGCAGCAGATCATCTTGCACCAGTGAAAATTGTGACTAATAGAAGTTTGTTATGGGCAACACAGAGGAAATAACAACCGAGAGTGGATTTGGATTTAAGAACCAACAAGATTAGAGATTTTACTCTATTTGCTGTTTCACACACAGACTCATCACTATGCTCTCTAGCGCTGCATTCACCAGACATCAAATTCCCTCTCCTGCTGGAACATCACTGCTGGTAGGATTCGGGACGTGCCAATGCTGTTTAGTCCAGCCCATGCCACTTGAAGCAAGAAAGTAGCAGGCTTCAGTTTTAGACATTAACCACCTCCAAGCCCAGTTACCCACTGCCTGCTAGCACTAGGGATTCAAGGCAAGAGGCAAGGAGGGTCTGATGGCAGATTCCTGCCTCAACTCCAGTCCACCTAAAGCTAGAAGTGTTCACATGAAATAACCTGGTGCTAAGAGCTGCTCTGAAAAGCATCAATATACGGTACATATTGCCAACTTCAAATAGCCAGAAAGTAGAAATCTGGACACGCTGAAGTCACAGTAAACATCTGACCTTTTTTTGTCTTAGCGCTTTTCAAACCTTTGGGATGTACTCATGTCATGTTCAAAGCCTGCTTTTTCTCCTCAGAAAAAAAATGTATTTTTGGTTGTTTGACAGATACTAAAAACGTGAAAGACCTGAGCTTGTAAGATTTTTTTCTGAAGCCACAGGAACTGGTGAAATTCCAGTGGACCGGCACCATTTCTACTAAACATATTAAAATAATGTCTGAACTGATGGTAGCTGTAATAATTTTTAATCTTGGCCAGGCTTTTGAGAGGTTTTAGATGTGTGATTTAAAAATGTTTAACATTTCACTGTTACCTTTTATTTTTAAGGTCTTGGTTTCTTTGTCAAAACTATCACTCTTTAGAACATCAAAAGTTCCTACTTTACAGTAGTGTTTTTTCTTCTGTTTTTCAGACCATTAGTGTATTTGGGCTTAAAGATTTTTGCCCGGTTTGGGGTCTCTGAATTTTTAAACTGCTCAGAAGCAACACTGAGAGCGTGGCTGCAGGTGATTGAGGCCAACTACCACTCCTCCAACTCATACCACAACTCCACACACGCAGCAGATGTCCTGCATGCCACTGCCTTCTTTCTTGGGAAAGAGAGAGTTAAGGTACAACCATCACCTCGGAGTCCTTTGGGTTAGGATTTCAGTGTGTTTGCCATTTTATGTGTGCCATTCAAAAGTCAGATGTTTACTCAAATAATGGTCCTGGCTTCATCTATGCTTTTGAAGTCTTCCTGTGGTGCCCTGCAGGCCCACAGAGTTTCTGTCAAGTCTTTTGAGTAAGGAATTTTCACTTTCACGTAACAATCATAGGGGAGGAAAATGTGGCTCTTTTTTATCTCTTGGTAAGTGGCTGTCTGTAACAGCTCTTAATAAAGCTTTACAAAAGCTTTGGAGTGTGAGGTGCTGATCTCTTCTCCTGAGTATCCAGTGACAGGATACACAGGAACCGTTCAAAGTTGTGCTGAGGTGGTTCAGACTGAATGTTAGGAAGCATTTGTTTACCAAGTGGGTGGTCAAACACTGGACAAGGCTTCCTAGAGAGGTGGTTGATGCCCCAAGCTTGTCACTGTTTAAGGAGCATTTGGACAATGCCTTTAATAACATGGTTTAACTTCTGGTCAGCCCTGAATTGATCAGGCAGTTCAACTAGGTGATCGTTGTAGGTCCCTTCCAACTGAAATATCCTGGCATGTTCTGAAACACACAGGCTGTGTAGGAGCAGAGTCAGTGCAGAGTCAGAGCAAGAGTCAGAGTCAGGGAAGCACACAAAGTGGAAGAACACCATTAGAGGATCCATCCACTATTAAGAGAACTTAATGCAAAGATATTGCTTAGGTGACAGCATAGTAAAAAGTTCCATTAAGGAAAAAGGGTTTGAGTAACAGTGGGAGGAGTTTTGGAGTAGGTAACCTGTTGGAAAACAATTGCAAGGAGGTAGGATCCCTGCACTCAAGCTTACACTTGGGTATTTGTGGGTACCTCGAAATGATCAAAAATTATTTACTGTAACTTTGTACTACATGATAATTTTTCTCTCTTCCTGTAGGGAAGTCTTGACCACTTAGATGAGGTGGCTGCATTAATAGCTGCCACCATTCATGACGTAGACCACCCTGGACGGACAAACTCTTTCCTGTGCAATGCAGGCAGTGAATTAGCTGTCCTTTACAATGATACAGCTGTATTAGAGAGTCATCACACAGCACTGGCATTTCAGCTTACAACTAAAGACAGCAAATGCAACATTTTCAAGAATATTGATAGGTAGGTCCAACGGAGAAGCAGAGTGTGCATGCGTGGATCACTTCTTTGGCATTTTTACTTTGAGACCGATTAAGAGTTTATCATCTAAACCAGAAATTACAGTTTAAACAGAGACATTAATATTTAACCTCTTCCAAAATCCTATGTAGACATAATTTTTAAAAAGCCTTTTATTTTCTCTTCCTGTCCTCCAATTTGTGTTTTTTGGAAGCTGATAGGTATGTTTGGTAACCTTTTATGGATTACAACGGCACAAACCAGTTGGAAGCCTCAAGGTTGTGTCTTGACACCCTGCCTTTTCATTGCAGGAGCCTGGAAGTGACTTTTTTGAGCCACATGTTTCCACCCAAGCAGCCAGATGCTGCATGTCATGTCTGCACGAGTTCCCATGCTTGCTGGCACCACTGCATTCACATGGGATGGAAAGGGGTGGTGGTAGAGGCCTGTGAAGCTCTGGGGGAGTTGGAGGCACCCTGCTGCTGGGCGTGCATGTAGCTTGGGCATCCCAGCTCTTCCAGGGACTGAGTAGGAGAGAAGGGGATCTGAAAAGAAAGGGGCCTGACCCTAAACAGGTAATGAATTTGTCTACCCCCTAAAACGCTGTTGATCTTTGGAAAAAAAAAAAAAATTTGAGTTCCTAGGGAACATGCAGGGAGGTGGAAATGTGTTGGTGCCATTCCTGGAGAAGTTGTCTTAGTGTTACATCATGAATTTAATTTTTTTTTTTTTTTTTTTACTTCTGGGGATTGTTTTTTGTTGGGTAAAAGAATCACAGAAAAAAGGCAATACAAGGATTTAGAGCTGGAGGAACCAGAAGAGGCATGATCTAGTCCATTCTTCCAATCCTATCTAGGTTGATTAGGAAATCTAAAGGTGCCAGCTCACATGGATGTGCTGCCCAGCAATGTTCGGCAGTGCTGCCTAGGCAGGGACAAGGAAAGGACGGCCTCTGTCTAGCAGGCTTGTGAACAGGAACTACTTTGCTTTCCTAGAAATCACTACCGGACATTGCGTCAGGCCATTATTGATATGGTTTTGGCAACAGAGATGACAAAGCACTTTGAGCACGTGAACAAATTTGTGAACAGCATCAACAAACCAATGGCATCTGAGGAGACCAGCTCACACGTAAGTACTTGCAGGACTTTACACCTTCGGGCATGTCAGTGAAGGTCTTCTCAGACAACTTTAAGTATCCTTTTTATTCACGTAATATTAATTTTTATTGTGTTAATGCCCAAAAGACACAATTAGGTTTGTGACCTCACACCTCAAAGTGTGAAAAAAATACTTTTTTTTCTTGTTTTCTATGTCTGGCTCTGCCCTTAGCTCAGTTAAAAACTTCATTTTAAAAGCATTGCCTTCAAAGCCATCTTGTGTTCAGAAAGCATGTGCTGAGTGCTTTTGTAAATGCAAAGTTCTGTGCATGGACCCAGGCCAGCACTTTTGCCTGTGGTCCTTCACTCCGCACAGTGGGATTTGCCTAAGCGTGGGGATGTAACTGAGGAACTTGCCCTGATGATTTTCTTTCTGTGTCATCTGGAGCCTTCAAACCACAAGGCATAACTCCACTGCTTCCTGATACCTCTCCAAACCATCCCCATTCCTGACTGTACAAAGAGATGTCTGGGCCTTTATTCCTATCGATTATACACCCTAATGCTCCGTCACCAGCCAGGGTATATTCCATAAGATGCCTCCAAGTCTCCCAGGCCAGGCCCCTCTTTACCTTCTCTTGTTGCTTCTCAAGGTTGAGCACTCAGTGCCTGACAGGATTCTCCAGGTCTGTATTACTCACCTAAGCAAAGACCGTCTTATCATAGCTTAGTGAAACTAGTGCTTTGTTAGAAACATTGGGGGGAAAAAAGGTCAGACCAAATTAAAAATATTTAAAGATATTAAAAATAAATAGAAGTAGCTCCTGTCAGTTCTCTGTAAGTGGACTTTTTGCACTGTAGACAGTCATGGGTGCAGAAACGAGTCAGGACCAGTGGGGTTTATGACTTCAGGGACAGCATTACAAGAGTTGAACTGATCCACCTCTAGGGACCTCTGAGCTCCATTCTTCCAACAGTTTGAGCTGGAAGTCACAAATGCTGCCGAACCTCACTGGCTCTGTGGATGCTTTTCAATGCACTCCCCAGCACTTCCAACCCTGGAAGGCTCACTGGATGTGACACTGGGTCTTAATTAGCCCGATCACCTTCAGTGTCAGAAGTCTCACAGCACTGGAGGACGTGGTTTGGGCCCTGCTGGGGGTCCCTATCACCGTTCCTGCACTGCACTCCTAGCTCATCGCCTGGCGTTGTGTTCCACGGGTTTGCCTTCCTGGCATGGACTAAACTAGGACAGTGGGGATCTCAGTTCAGATAAAAGCCCAGAGGTAAGGAAGGTCCACATGGGTGGGTGGCATGGAACTACCCACTCTCAGGTTTCTCAGTGCTTGCATGTGAACCAGATAGCAGCTTGCTCTTACCAATTTTGGGAAAAGCCCTCTAAGGTGTCAAGGTGAAACGTGGCTTCAGTTCTTCCTCTGACAGCTCAAGTGTTTTCTGAAATGTTTTCTCCATCTCCACTCTTTTAAAATCTCACAAGTTTTCTGGCATGCCCACGTTGTTCTATAGGATTTAGATTCACAAGTGTCACTGAAACCACAGTGTTTCCAAGCTCTAAACATATTTCTGGGAATCCCCCTTTTTTCCCATGAATGCATTTATTCCAGCACTTCCTAAAGAGCCTTTAAATGTTCTGCATACATTCTATTGCAATCTGTTTTGCTAGTGTATAGAAAACATTTTTACTCACTCACCTTTATCTTACTGGTTTATAGCAGAGGCTATTTTAAAGTGCACAAGAGTCGGCGAACAGAAGTGGAGCACACAACCACTTGTATCACAGACTTGTTTTTTCCCCAGTATCAGGTTGTTCTGTTCCTTATTGTTAAAGGTGGTTCATCCTATTTTTGATCTTGAACAGCACTTAAGAAACAGGGTTAATTTGGCTGCTTTTTGCTGGGCTGCCTATGCTGAAAAAAAAACCCTGCTAAACGTAAAGTTAGAAGATTAATGCCTGAACTGGCAAGAGTCACTGCAAAGTATCTCCCCATAAACCACAAAGACATTAATTTAGCCATGGTGGTAAAAAGTATGTTCACTTTTTGACTCAAGAGTTGAATTTAAGCAGTGAAGGGAGGCCATAATTCCACAAAATCTATTATTTTAAAAATAGTGTTAATGCCATGGTGAGCTGAGGTGGAGGCTTTTTATTACTCAGTACAGAACATAATATACCTGTACCCTTCTCCACTGTTCAAGACTCAGAAGATGATGCTACAGCAGACAACTAATCTGTCTCCTCTACCTGCTCTCCAGAGCAGTCAACAAGCAGTTCGGTATTTTACTGCCTAGCAAGCAGAGGCTTTCTGCAGTCAATCTGTGACTCCTGCGTTTTTCTACTATTAATCCCGTAGATTATCTGAGACTTCATCCTAGCTGGTAACTGGCTGGCAGCCAGATGCCAACTCAGCTGTTCTATCACCCCACCTTCCCTGCCAGACAGGGGGAGAAAATATATATCAAAGGCCCCATGGTTTGAGATAAAGACAGGTTGATCACCTGCATCTACCATCCTGCGCAAAACAGACTTGATTTTGCGGAAATTAGTTAAATTTATTAAAGAACAAATCAGAGAAGAGTTGTTAACTTCCTAGGAAGATGAACAGCCTCACTCTAAGTGCCTCCAGGTCGTAATGGAGGTGGG